TTGTCACCTTTGGAGCGAATATGGTTCTCATCGGCATGGCCTCTGGGTACCTGGTTGCATAATCTAGTAGGACTAGTATATACTGGTTTCCAGCGCTACTTCGGGGAAGTGGCCCCACGATGTCCACAGCCACTCGCTCAAAGGGAACCTCTGTCAAAGGCATCGGAATTAAAGGGGCCTTTGGGGGACACCTAGGGTTCGCTTTTTGGCATACAGGACAGGAGGCGCAACACCTTGCCACTTCTCGGAACAGTCCGGGCCAAAAGAATCTTGCCCTAATGTGGGCTTCGGTTTTGTCTCTGCCAAAATGTCCCCACATAAGGAGTTCATGAGCCACCTTCAAGACAGCCCGTCGATATTGCCGAGGTACTAGCAGCTGTATGACCTCGTCCCCTCCAGGCTTCCCTCGCTCAATTCGGTACAGGAGACCATTCCGTACCTCGAAACTTGGTGTTGTCTTCATCAGCTCTGGCTGTAAGACCTCGCCATCTCGTTGAGCTAGGTGTTCTTGCAACGCATACCGAAAGTCTGCCTCCCAACTCTGCTCCAGCTGAAAATGCTCATCTTCCCACAAAGGGGTGACATCCACCTTTTGTCTAGCCTCTTCTTCAGGGGGCACTTGTTCTGTCTCTACTGCGAATTCCTCAACCTTCTCCTTTGGCCTCACCCTAGCTATCTCCCCCAACAGCTCAGGCCAGTCACAACCCAGTACTGCTGGGTAGGGTAAATGCTCGGTGACCCCAACTAGCATCTGCCGGGTCCTATCACCTACTTGAAGTATGACCCCTACTCTGTCGACTCCGAGGGAGTCCCCGCACCAACATTGTACCTTGACGTGATCCACTATCTCCCTTTCTTTAGTCAGTAGCACGTTGCTCCGCACCATTGTCTGCAATGAGCCTGAGTCCAGCATAGCTCGTACCTTTTTCCCCTCCATTGTCACTTCGACTGTAACTGCGGGTGGCTGGTCTCCTGCCTCAGGGTCACTCCTAGCTCCATAGCCACACATCCCCACCCGGACCACCGGTTGTGTGTGGATGCTTCCAATCATGTTGGCTAACAGAGCCTGTTGTCTAGCGACTTGCTCCCGTAGGCTTTGTATTGTTTGATGTAGCCGAACCAAAACCTGTGGTTGTGACTCTGGACCCAGGCTTAGCATCTGCTCCCACTTCTCTCTCTCTCTGGACCCAAGGATTCTTTTCCTCATACGGACAAGCCAGCATCCTATGATGCATACTGCCTGTCATGGCGCGAGGTCCTGCAGGAGGGCCGTGATCTCCTCAAGGCCCCCTTCCCTGTGCCAAGTTGGCCCAAGGGCACCCTCAAATTCTCGCCCGCCACATCTTTGGTGTTCGACTATATTAGGGAGGCTGCCTTCATGTCTTCTTGGACATGGTTTAGATGTGCTCCAAGCCCCGTGGGCTCCTGGACCCCTTTGTAGGCCCCGTTCTATAGTGGGTGTTTTGGGGCACCCTAGCCTTATGGGCTATGCATAGCTCCAACCACCCCTTTACCACGCCCCAAGCCTCGCAGATGGAATAGACATTGTTCGGTCTGGGCCTTGTTTATAATCTGGCCCTCTTGTCCTCTCCGGGCCCTGCCTCTTTTGATCTGTGCCCTCTCTGGTGCTAGGGCTCTCTATGGCCCTGTCTCACTCTGTGCCCCCCTTCTCTGGGGCTTCTCACAGCGCTGCCTCCTTCTCCGGGAATTCTCCACAATGCTGCCCCCTCTCCTGAGCTTCTCAGGCGCTGCCCCCTTCTCTAGGGCTTCTCAGGCGCTGTCCTCCTTTTCTAGGGGTTCACCACACCCGCACTGGGGCTTCTCAAGTGCTGCCCCCTTCTCTGGGGCTTCTCAAGTGCTTCCCCCTTCTCTGGGGCTTCTCCACACCCGCACTGGGGCTTCTCACAATGCTGCCCCTCTCTGGGGCTTCTCTACTGCCCCTCTCTGGGGCTGGCATCAGTGCACCACAAATGCTGTGCCCTCACTGGTGCTGGGGTTCCCACGCTACTGTGGGTCCCCTATGAGGCCTCCTCCAACCCCTAATAGCCTCACCCAAACCACCGGTAACAAACAGATTGCAACCCCCTCGGCTTTAACTTAAACGGAAGCCCCCCGGCTATAACAACATTCCGGCCTACCGGAGAATACTCCATCCCTCAGCCGTGCCAGATGCTGCTCCTTCAGTCAGGCTTCCCCGCTTCCCTGAGGGGGCTTATTCCCCCTTGGCTGCTGGCAGGGAACTCCCATCCTGGCCTCAGCCCTGGGATTTATATGTGAGCCAGGCCCTGCCCCTTCTGGACAGCTGACTAGTGGTAGGTGTGGGTCACTAGCTCACTCTGGGTGCCCTGGTAACCACCAGCTGGGGCTCCCTGCTCACTGCTAGGGCTCTAGAAGTAGGGTCGGAAAGGACCTTGTAGAACTTCAAGTCCGACCCCCTGGCTGGGCAGGAGGGAAACTGGGCTCAAGTGACCCCAGCCAGGTAGGCATCGAGCCGCTTCTTAAAGACCCCAGGGTAGGAGCCAGCACCACTTCCCTTGGAAGTTGGTTCCAGATCCTAGCCGCCCTAACTGTGAAGTAGTTCCTGGGAGCAGTTTTATCCCTTCTTAGGAGCAGCGCACCTAAGTGCTCTGCGACACCATCCGAGTCTCCAGAGTCTGGAATAGACCCCCCTCCCAGAAATGGTGCAAGCACCTACTCTGGATACCTTTAAGAAATGTTTGGATGCTCTTGCTGGGGTGATCTGACCCCAGCTGACTTCCTGCTCTTTGGGCAGGGGGCTGGACCCGATGATCTTGCAACGTCCCTTCCAGCCCTTAATATCTATAAATCTATAAAATCTATAAATCCTTTCTGGGGAATGTTCCAGTGCTTTACTACCCTCCTCATGAGAGGTTTTCCTAATATTAAACTTAAACTTCCCCTGCTGCAATTTGAGACCACTGCTTTATGTTCTGTCATCTGCCACCACTGAGAACAGTGTAGCTTCATCCAGTTGGTCCCAATCCTGTAGTGGTGCATGGGATTCTTCCATCCTAAGTGCAGGACTTTGCATTTGTCCTTGCTGAACCTCATGGGATTTCTTTTGGACCAATCCTGCAGTTTGTTTAGGTTTCTCTGAATCCTAGCCTTACCCTCCAGTGTATCTACAACATCTTCCTCCTCACCCCACCCTCCCACCCGCTACCCCCCACTGTAGCTTGGTATCATCTGCAAAGTGGCTGAGGGTGCATTCCATCTCATCTTCCAGGTTGTTGATGAAGATATTGAACAAAACTGGCCCCAGGACCGAGCCCTGGGCACTCTACTTGATTCCATCTGCCAACTAGACATTGAGCCATTGATTATTACCCTCTTGAGGCCAATGAGCCAGCCAGTTTGCTATCCACCTAACAGTCCATTCATACAACCCATACTTCCTTAGCTTTCTTGCAAGAATGTTGTGGAGGATGATATCAAAAGCCTTGCTAAACTCAAGGTATATCATGTCCACTGCTCTTCCTGCATCCACAGAGCCAATCATCTCATATAGAAGGCAGTCGGATTGTTCAAGCATGACTTCCCCTTGGTGAATCAATGCTGACTGTTCCTGATCACCTTCTTTTCTTTGAAGTGCTTAGAAATGCTTCCTTGAGGACCTGCTCCATGATTTTTCTAGGGACTAAGGTGAGGCTTGACCAGTCTATAGTTCCCCAGATCCCTCCTTCCTTCCTCCCCTCCCTCTCCCTCTCCCTCACCAGCTAATATCACATTATCGTTTTTATTTATTTTTTGTCCCTTGTCTGTCACTTCCATTTCTTATGTCTTATGAGAGAGAGAAGATAGCAGACATCTTAATCTTTTTTGTCCCTGTTTTAGTTTGGAGGTCCTCCTTCAGGACAGTTGGTTGTCAAGGCTTACAGTGAGCTTTTGCAGTCCTGGTTTGGAAAAAGAGTTTTTATTTGTTCTAGGAACAGATGGTCCCCTGTGGATTTTCCTGTATTATCCAGTGCAGTCCGTCAAAGTGGGACTTTCCACAACTGCTATCCAGGGATACACACTCTTACAGTGCTGTACATTAGTGCAGGGCAAAATACTTTAACCTGCCTACAAACAGCAGAGCTATCCCCTCTTCTTTTTTAATATTAATATTTCCTGGTCATACCTGATTAGAATTAATCTGAATAATTTTATTTGATTTAATAACCTCACTGGAAGCTGCTTGTCCTAGATGTTATTCAAGAGGTTTGCTTTGTAGAATGGCAACACTGTTAGAGATTTTCATTTCTGCATAAAGCTTTTCTAAGCCCCAAATAACATCTCTGTTGTAGTCATTACTGTTTTGCTTCAATATTTGTATGTCAGTAATTTGTAAATGTGTTAAAACTTCCTAAAAATATAAATGGCTATTTAAAAAGAAAGTTATGAAAAAACCAGTGAATCCTAAAATACATTAGCCGAGAGAGAAAAAAGGATTAAAAAAGAGTTCATGATGTTTAATACAATGTGAAATAAACCAAAATATTGAATTAACAATAGTCTTGTGGTTGCCACCTAACATTTATTTTTAAGCAAAATAATTTATTAGCTTAAAATAAACAGCAAAATGCTGAGTAAATATTGTACAATTAAATTTGTATACAATCAAAACATTCGAAAATAGAACTTCTAATAGTAACGTGAATCATGTGTACTATGGCAAGCATTTTGTAACATAATACAATTTATTTGGTAGCATACATAACAAGAAAAAACCCTACAAATATGTAAAGTGCCCTTAAGGTAAAAGCTAAGCTGGTATTTAGTTAATTAGAGTGCCTGCTATAGTGTTGTGAATGTGTCTGTGTGACAAGGTGTTTAGCAGAATTCACAGATTTGTTGGAATCTGACAGGGCTGCACTGTGAGTGCTTCTGCTACGGCCTTTGAACTTACAATGTCTGGGCGGTCAACTGCGCATCTTAGTGCCTGCATCACCCCAGCCATTAATTGTAAATGTGTGAAACGGACTTCATTGTTTCTGCAGGAAAGCAGTACTTCTAGGATCTGTGCTTCTAGTCAGGAGAAGGAGTGCCCACTCGAGAGTACCCTGAGCAGTAGCCCTGTCAAATCTGAACGAGAAGCTTTATTAGTTGGTAAGATGCATGACAGAGTATGTCTGGAGAGTTTTTAACATTGGAGAGGTTTTAAAATTTCTACTGCATTCATGACAGAATGTTACTGCCAAATTCTGAGAGAAATTGTAGTTTTTCATTGAAGACTTTTTATGCCAGATTTGGAAGATAAATTCCATCATTACAGCTAGAAGTATCTGACTTTCACAGTCACAGGACCATAGTCATTTCAAACCATTCAACGGTTTCACCCAGGGGTAGAGGACAGATCAAAGCCACCATTTTTCCCCAGAGCTCCCTCCTTACCCTTTTCCTACCTGAAATCTTACCCTGGTTTTGTGGCCTGGAGCCAAATTCCAACAACACAGGTTTGTAATACTAGACTTTCAGTTAAACATTGCTCAGCTGTTCTCTGCACATCAGTTGGATTGGAGCAGGAAAGTACCACCATAAACAGGTCTAGGATCACTAGTAGCCTGCCCATCATCTTGCTCAGATTCTATATGGAAAACCTGACATTATCTCTTTTTCTCAAAGCACAGTTACCTAACTGGAAGAGTAGGGCAAATCCTGAAGTGTTGCATGCTTGCTATTTCCTCCATCATCTCCATTTCTCACCCATTCGCCTTTATGTCTTTTCGCCTCCAAGAAGGCCATACTTCTCAACATTGCTCAACCATTACATGGTATATTGTAGAGCACATTGCAAGAACTTTCTAGGCTCTTTTTTTTACTTGTTTCTCAGTAAAGTGAGAGATATTTTAAGCACAAAGGGCACCCATACATGTGACAGACCTCTGCTCCACTGAGCACTCGTTAGCATGCATTGGAGCAGACTCTGTTAATTGAGTCTGCTGGAGCATGCTAATTAGCTCACTCCAGCAGCCTGTGTGTCATGTGTATTCAGCATCCCTGCATTTCAAAATGGCAGCAGAAGCAATTTAACTAAAGCTTATCGAACGAGCTTTATTTAAAGCACCCCTGCTGCCATTTTGAAGCATGGGACACTGAATACACACGATGCTGCGGGAGCTTTAATTAGAACAGCTGTCAGAGCCACTCTGATTAGAGTGCCCCCCTCCACCCTGGAGCATGAGTATAAACACCTAGAGATGTAACTGTTTTCTGCCCAAAGAAATGTTTTGCTCCTTTTTATATTGCAGCATGAAGGCCATCACAATGCTGTTGTTCCCAGATGGCTGTTGATTGAGAAGAATTATGTTTATAATATTATTTCTTTAGGTATAATTTCAACATTTCTTCATGTTCACCCATTTGGAGCGAGCATAGAATACATCTGTTCCTACTTACAGCGGTTGGACACTAAGGTAGGCATTCTGGGCAGATGCAGGCAGTTAAGGGAATTCTGGTCCATCTTTTGGGCCTAGCCTGTGAAAGTGGTTGTCTCACCTTGTGGTAGAGTGGGGGTCTTTATTACTCCATACTTGGGAGCAATTGACCATTGCAAGTTGCAGCTTTTCTTGAGAAATGGTCCATCTCATCTAGTACCCTGTGTTTGACAGTGACCAGGATCAGATGTTTCAAAGGATAGTGTAAAATATATATATGATGGGCATTATGGACTCTTCATGTGGGAAAAACTTTTACAAA